GAGAGAGAGAGAGAGAGAGAGAGAGAGAGAGAGAGAGAGGGAGAGAGAGACAAATTAAGGAGATCTTGGAAGCTGGATCCCAGTGACTCTGCACTGCTGGTGATGCTCCGCATTGGTGGTCTTCAAAGCAACCGTGTGCCCCCCTCCCCCCCAGGAATTTGAGGAGCACTAGAGCTTAAACATAAACAACTGGGAGCAGAAAGCTCAGCTTTGTAAAGGCTACATCTAGCCTATTTCAGGCCTGGCCTTCAAATGGTAGGAATTGGTGGCCCTGATTTTAAGCAGTCAAGGTACTCTAGGTGCTTCCTGTCGCTCCAAAGGACATTTGGGGGGGGGGGTCTTCCTCTAACTCCCTTGCATTAAATGCATAAACACAGGACAAACGCCAACAGCCCAACAGATCCGCCATGATTTCTGGAATATTTCTGGGGAAGGATCCTAGGTCTTTCGGAGCAGTGAAAATTATACAGTGGGCTTCTTGCCCGTGAAAACCAGAAAGTAAGGGGTTGTACCCCAAGATTTATGGCCGTGAGAATCCTTTTGTGGCTTGTTCAGCCAACTGTGCTTCAACTGTGGGTAGTTTACAGCGGAGAAGACCCTCGAGAGCAGAAGCCGAAGGAGCATGTCAGCTAAAAATTCCCCTCCCCATTTCCAGCCAGGAAGATACTGACAGTGCCCAGCTGCTTACTTGCACTGAAACGGCGCCCTGAAGTTTCAACTGCAGCTGGATCATGTCCACATCTGGTGAAGCACAGAGCTGCTGCAGCTCGGAGGTCTTGTCCCGGATTTCATCCGTTGCCACGTCGATGGGCTTCAGGTTGACTTGCTGTTCGCATCGGACGGGGATTCTTTTCTTGACATACGGGAAAGAGTGGCAGGCTAGGGGAAAAAGGAGGAAGCCGCAGAAGCGCCGATGAAGAGAACGAAGAGTTCTCCACCTACAAGCTCCAGCTCAAAATAAATCTCTGCTTACGAGGAAGGAAGCCCCCCCTTACCGCCTACACTCTGACCTACGCACAGTACACAGAATTGTCTGCTACAACATCCTACCCGTCCTATCCTACCTACTTCAGCTTCAACCACAATTAATACACAAGCACACAATCGATACAAACTCAAGATCAACCGCTCCAAACTCGATTGCAGAAAATACCACTTCAGCAGCAGAGTGGTCAACACCTGGAATGCTCTACCCAAACTCCGTTGTTACATCCCCAAACCCCCAAAACTTCAACCTTAAACCGTCTACCGTGGACCTCACCCCGTTGCTAAGAGGTCCGTAAAGGGGGCGTGCATAAGCGCACCAGCGTGGCCACCGTCCCTGTCCTCCTGTCCCCATTTATCTGTATTCATTTCCTTTGTTCATATCCATGTTCAGACTTTTATACCTGCCCTCTTGTACATGTTCAACAAACTACAAGTATGAAAACGAGATGAAGGTCCTAATCAGCCTCTTTGCTCTCCCTTACTCTCCCTTTGTCTTGGGGTAAAGGGGGAAAAAAAGCTTTCTTGACAGACCACTGATATCAACAATGCAGACTGGGAAATTCAACGTCTCTGCAAACTTTCCCACGGGGCGCGTGAAATGCCCGTAGGAGGTAAAAATTAGGCATCGTTGCACAACGGCGCTCTCTGAGCGTGTGAGATTGTTAAATCTCCTAATTTGGGGAAATTCTCACACTCTGGTGTCCAAGATGACGGAAGCCCTTGAGAAATTGTGCGAGGACTTTCTGGGTCTTCACAAAAAGGCTTAGGACTAGGATGGATGTAAGGGGGAATGAGATCCCAAGGGAGAGGCACGGGAGATTTGCCAAGAAGTCAATGGGAGTCGAGACATTAAAAAGGGCAAGAGATGATGGATAGATTTAGAATACTTCTTAATGTAGGACTTTCTTCTTAAGAGTTAGAAAATAGAGGTAGAAATTTGAAACGGGGAAAATATTACTATGTATACTGCTATGTAATATATTACCATTACTCGTAAAAGTAAAGGTTCCCCTCGCACATATGTGCTAGTCGTTCCCGACTCTAGGGGGCGGTGCTCATCTCCGTTTCAAAGCCGAAGAGCCAGCGCTGTCCGAAGACGTCTCCGTGGTCATGTGACTGGCATGACTCAACGCCAAGGGCGCACGGAACGTTGTTATCTTCCCACCAAAGGTGGTCCCTATTTTTCTACTTGCATTTTTTTTTAACCTGCTTTCGAACTGCTAGGTTGGCAGAAGCTGGGACAAGTCACGGGAGCTCACTCCGTTACGCAGCGCTAGGGATTTG